TACGAAGAAATTACGGTGCGAAAGCCGCGCAAATGATACCACCTGGAGGTCAGCTTTTGCCTCTTGGCCGCAGCGCGGATTCTCCGCACATTTCCGATTGTACCACGACTAAAATGCCAGTAAACTTTACCGTTCGGCCAAATTTGTCCTCGACGTATTGCTTGTGCTCATAAAATCCTTCAACAAGGTGGTCATGGAACTGTTTGGTGATTTCCGAGCGAGATGCATGAGCATACAGACAGAATTCCAAAATTTCCACCTTAATTTAGATAAAATGATTGCGCTGTCTAAACAGTGAAATAGAAGCAGTCTATTTCAGACTACAAACGTCAGATTCGAAAATAAGTTAGCAAGAAAAGGACAGTACCTGTTCAATTATTAAAGCACTTAAATGCATGGCAAGCTGCTTCTCCTCAGAGTCGTAGATTCTAGAGCACTCATCAGAGAAGAACACCTTCAAAAGGTCAAATTGCCAGGTGGAATTCGCAACGTTCAGCAGCTGTCACATCATTCTATACAAGTCAGGCTCACCTCATAATTACTGATACCGCCCATTACAGCAGGACGAACTACGCCAAGAATCTCCCCAGAGAGCTTTTTTACAGCATGTACACGATTAAGTAGCACTAATAGAGCCGTTTCCATCAGTTCTGTGTTCTTCCGTTGCATCTGATCGACTGAACGTCGCAGCGGATTTACGTAGATTGGTGGTGAAGTGGAGATTATCTTCAAAAGGCACATATAGGGCTAAAACTTTAAGGCTCCACATTGAAAAAGAAACTGGGTAATGTGTAACTTTAGGCAGAAAGACGCAGCAGAACGAAGGAGAGGGGTGAGGCATTTTGCAATTTCCTTTTTCCAGAGCCTCAAGTGGAGATGTGAAATCTTGAGAAGTCACAAAATGATATAAGCTAAAGTTTGTAGAGGCCACCGGACAAGTAAAGCAATGAAATACCATACAAACATTTAGCAGGAGGGCTCCGTAACTAGTGAAGCAGCGAGAGTGCGAAATCCAGCGAGTAGACTTCTGCTTGTAAGCCCCTTTCACAATCCCTGGCTCCTATTCAGATCTATTTCGCACTCTCTACGCCCAGGCACTCCCAATCGATTGCCGCGCGTGCGACACACCTACAGGTGCGCGATGTCGCGTGTTGACCTCTTTCCATCTACAGTGATATCGTCAGGGCGGTGTCAAGAAGGCAATAAATGAGCCCATTCGCGGCGTTTCCACCACTAGTTTTCTTGCTGAATCGATCAGTACTGGTAGATAACGCTGCTAGTATAGGGCTCATTCCACCCTTCCAGACACAGCCACGACTGAGTGCGACGATGTCACCAGTCAAAGATCACTTACTTGAGTAGATCGTAAAATGCCCGGCAATCGCTCGTAAAGTCACCAATGTTCGCTTGACTATCCAAGTTCGCATGAGCTCCGAATCTTTGACCGCAGTCCACTTCGTATCTTTCCGCTCTTCTACGCGACTATACTCAAAGTCACGGATCTAGAGGAACCAACTTCGAGAAATTGCCTTACAAATTTTCAAGAAATATCTAGATAACACACGTTATATAATGCCTGTAATAGTCCTTAATCGATGGATTCACGTGAGCGTCCGTTTAAAGGGCAAGCAGTGGGTATCGGTTCGATGTTGACACCTAAAGGTAGAATTGTGTTCGATTCAGGACGAGAAATGAAGAACTTCAGATAAGCACAAATTCCAGTAAACTACCTGCATATATCGACCGGGAGTGTTTTTCAAGTGGGAACAGTCATCCATGGACATAATTGCTTCGGGACCGCCGTAAATCTAGAAGATCCATAGGTTTGATTAATAACATTACGAGCTATTGTTTTATTGAAAAGAAACGTGTGCGAATGGGGAAGAGCCGAAACCAATCAAGGCTCCAAGCTGGACTTGATGCGCCGCTAGCCTAGCATCGTTGACGTTCTACTTGAAGCAGGTAAGCGACAACAGCTGGCGAAAAGCGACTGATATGAAGCTGCAGGAGGGGGAGGGAGGTGCACGGCGGAGCGGCTGTGTCTACTCGTTCGCACCTTCTCATGAACACAGTGATCACTTCCTGTCTCCGAGTTTAGCATGGCTTGGTCTCGCGGAGTGCTACCCCTTCCCACTCAACTACGGTAGCGCCAAAACTTCAAGTAATTACCAAGCATACCATAAACCGTAAAAAGGCTTCCCATAAAAAAGGAAAAATCGCTCAAGAACCTTCCAAGGTCACATACATTGTTGTTCGCTGCAGATGGTGGACATTTTAGGAGGGGGAGGGGGGAGAGGAAGAGAGGAGCTGGGTCTGGCGCGGCGCCAACCGTTCCCCACCAACTGTGGAAGGTGGCAAGCAAGCACAACTGGACCTACTCCATCTACTCCCCACTGAAACTCTCCAGCACCGCAGCGAGCAGCACTATAAGCTGCCGCGAAACACCTTTGTGAGTAGTGACCAAAACCGAATAGTTCTCAAAAGATGAACCTGCTGCATTCGCTGCATGAAGTCCGCATGACGCTCCAACTTGTCGCTGCGAAACACGAAACTGTAAAAGTGTAATGATGTTTTATAGCAGAATTAAATGATTCGCGAAACAAAAGAAAGTAAAAAAAAGTTTGTTAAAAAGAAGCAAGGCTCTACAAAAGAAGGAATTTTGGGGTTGCCGTATTTGAAGGGGGACCCAGCCTTAATACAACGCCATCAAAACCGCTTCTTTCCCCGAAATGAGGCCATGTAAACTCTGATCGCCTGCGCTCTTCCAACTGCGCTGAGCGAGGAAGAGAATGGATGACTTTGCGTGGTAAACCTCTTCTAGGTACGGTAGCGCCAGCACTTCAGGCAAAAGAGTAAGATAATAAAACCAACCTGTACCCATTCAGGTAGCTCGGGAATCCTTTGCCGTAGAATGCCACAAGGTAGTAATAGAAAAATGCACGATTTTCGCGATCAATCTTACGATACAGCTCGGCAATTCTCACCTTCAAATCGGAAGGAACATTCATTCAGAAAACTCTATGAATAAAATTAATGAAACAGACCATTAACGAAGCCAACTTGTCATAATCAACATAGGTAAATTCGTAAACAGGCAGGAGTTCCCTAGAATTTCTTATGTTATTTCGCTGAACGCTTACAGTGAGACTAGTATCCTCACTTGAGTATCTTGATAGCATCTTCCCACATTTCACCTTCGGCAAAAAGATCCGCAGCTTCACAAAGAAGGCTATCCTTCAGCTGTCTTTCGACGGCGCAGTGTCGATTCAGCCGTCTGGCAATTAAGGATTCGTCCAGTTCTCTATCATTCCACTAAAAACATGAGCTGGTGTTGAAAAACGAAGGGCCGCTGTGCGAAGTGAATGGGGCTCAGGCTGCCGGAGTGTGTTACTTTGTCAGCTCAACAGTGTATCGGAACCAAACCTGGGTGTAGTGATAACCAGGTACCGGCCCCCGACTTCACCCGTGCCATTTTCACGGTCCAGGCGTGTGACTGGCAGCGCAACAGCGCAAGGCGGAATATGGAGACGACACATGTAAACCACTAACTTCCACTTCCGTTCGAGTGGAAAAAGTAGCTTGCTACTGGCTGGCGGACCGCATATCTCCTCGCGGCAAGCGCAATGGCCACGATTCAAGGTGAGTGTTTCGCTTGCTTTTGAAGGCATGGGCAGACTACTAGAGGCGGCTTGTTGGTGTCAGTGCATTGGGTGGGAAGGTAGTTGGCCACCTTGCCAGGTTGGCAGTACGCTCATCCTCGGCGCCTTCCACTCCTGGCGAAAACCGCCTCTCGTTCCATCATCGTACGTGGCCAACTACTAGCTTTCTTAAGAAACTGAGTCGATCGAATAAAAACCCAATATACAGAATAGATGAAAATGAACTGAAATATCTAAGACTCACACTGAGGGTGTTCGCATAAAGCATTAGGGTTCGTGCAGCTTCGATCTGATTATTATAAGTCATATGCAGGTTATACAACTTGTAGACGTAGGTGATGTAGAGATTATGATGCCTATACTTCTCATAGTACCTCTGGAAATTGTACTAGTTAAACCACTGTGCAGAACCCCTTAGATATTTTCAATATGACAGGGTGCATCAGTGGGGAAGGACATTCTGGTTAGTTCGTACGGATCGCGGTGACTCCAATTTGGCAATACTCCTTTGAAGCTACGAATTTCACTGCCACGGCTTCTCTTGTTTTCACAATGCGCCTGATCACAGCCTAAGATGCCCCTGAATGAGTGGGCCTACTAGTCTGTGCAAAAAAAATGTTCTTGCGCTTCATGAGATATTAAAATTAAGAACGGATCTTCACTTTTTCTCAAAGATCTATAATTGCGGAAAATGTTTATTGTGGTTCCTTGCGTGCTTCACACCGAAATGCCCCTCTTTTGTTTGGTGTATGTACTATTTGCTTACGGGCAACACTTTGAACGGTCTTGCTAAACTCATTCCATTTTCCATGCAGTCGGAGGTTTCTCTCACTAGTCGGTACTCGAACAGGTGTCCTAGGAGCCGATCTACTCGGTCAATGAGGTCGCGACCGCCGCCTTCCCACAGCTCTTTGTCAGACCTAAATCACAGATTACGCAAAAACAGCTAAACCAAGAGTACTAGATGCTCTACCAACAAATTGGAGTAAGGGAGGGTATGCCAGGTCTGCAGCAGCACTAATCTTATTCTCAATGGCAAAGTGGTAGCGCTTTGAGAAGGTCAGATGCCGAGCACGCCTTTGTCCTCCACAGACCGAGTTCGCGAAGATATAGTATAGTAAGCGCGGCTGACTTTACTTCACCTTTCCAGAAAAGGCAATCTTCTCTTTCTCTACTTCTCTAAAAGGCCATATATGTCGGTTAACGTGTGGATCAATTAAACATACTGGCACTGGCTCCTCAAGATTTTGGAGAACTGCTCTTGGAAGGCTCTCGTTCCTCGATCCTGATCCACCAGGCTGTCCAGCTGCGTAATCAACTCATCCGAAAACTGAAATGATACTCATAGAAAAGGGCAGTATCCGACTACTACGACTCCAGGAACTTAGAAAAGAGTTTCTGTCCGTAAGCTTAGCTTGTAGTTGTTTCGTGCCCATGTTACGAACATTACATTCGCTTTTGTTGTTGGGGCCGTTTGACGCCTACCCGGCTCCGCCACTTTTTTAAGCGAATTCGCTTCGAATCTTTGTTTGGGGGTAGTCGATGGTTCTGATCACTGATATGACAGTCATTTTTAGGCTGTGGTGCCTAATGGCGACAGCCAATAATGAAATGCCATATTTTATAGCCAGGACCATCGATAACCACCAAACACAGGTTCACACCGTATTTCTCGGAGAAGGAGTAGCGTCAAAGATGGACTTTTTCGTGGCACCTAATTAGCTCTATAGGCGCAAATTTGGCGAAAAAACTTGTGTTACTGAACCGCAATGATGAAGTAGCGCAAAAACATAATTACGTTCACAGACATACCAAATCAACCGATCACATTAATCCTCACTCAAATTCTAGGCGGCGATCGCAAAAAAAAGAGAAACAAGAAGGCACAACCCTGTGTGTGTATGCAAGATTAAAAGCCGGCATTTTTTCACCTTCCAAGTATAGCAGCGCTATGATAACGGGGGTAAAAATGAAATCCGAGCGATAGCTAGCTCTTCTGTGAGTTTTTACGGTCCTCGACACACGAGTGAAACTCGCACTGCATCATATCAAAAAATATCGGAATCGTTGCTTCCCTGGTCTCGTCGTCTTCCACAAGAGCCACTTTTAGAAACGCTCCAACAAGACGGGGGATGTAGACCATTTTCTGTACAGCTAAAGTAAACCGCCAGTAGAATGAGCTCTTTAACTCTGCAAACAACAATCGAGAACATACGCGTGAGACGGAACCACATTGACCGAAGATCGCGAGCAGTTCCTTTCCGTAGTTGAATACGGGAATCTCCTTCGTCTCGGAGCCATTCCTCACTGGGCTGTAGAGATGGCTGCGTGACGAAGCACACAGCTGCTGTAACATATATTCCTTGCCAGACACTAAACTTTCGCTGTTAACTGCCTTACGAGAGAAATGAAAAAAGAAGCAGCAGACATTAACTTCTTTATATGTGTTGATGCAAAAAAACTGAAAGGCTCGATTCTTCGGCCGATGCAATTTCTTTTGCGCGGGACGGCGACCGCATATTTTACTATATCCATGTATCGCAATGGGGCTCAAGGCGATGTGGTTTTAATGCATGGTGACTCGAGGTGGCCAACCAATACGAATACGGCGTTCGTTGTTTTACTCCCGAACGAATCTGTTACCAATTTACCATCAACGGAGGGTGGAAGGCTCGATAGGTCTGGGCAAGGGCTGATCCGGGTGTTGAACGCCTGGACCGCACGCGTGGTGAGCGTGCCACTTTCCACTACGCCACCTCTATCTCAAAATGCATAGTATAGCACAAAAAGTGGCACCTGGAACTAGAAAATAAACTATAACATTATCCATTCACTACCACGGTCACTACCTTTTCAAGGGGTGAACTTCATTGGTGTGAACAATTAAATAAATAGTAAGCAGCCATATGTACCACCACTTCACGTCCAACGAGGAGAATGGGGTTCTAGCGCGATTCCTCCCCACTGATGCCAAAAGTACACTTCCTTCACCCACAAGTACGTTTTTATCCACCTCCACATTTTGCTGGATGAGCAGTAACATACTCTTACTACCCTTTGTCTGCTCGCAAAATAGACTATTTCACGAAATTCGCCAACCAAAGCAATGCAGGCTCCCCTCAAGCCAAGAACGATGTCTCATCAGCAACTTCAAATGCCACTTCCTGGGTTGCAGATTCCTCAAGGATGGCACGTCATGTTCACCGCAGCCACCTATCCAATTATTGAAAGGATCTAGCTCTCGGCATTGATCGATCCCCTTCTGGGAAGTTCGGTCAGAAAGCCACTGGTCAACAACGGAAACAATGACCTCCGAAAGCCAGCAGATGTGAAAGTCAGAGTAATCAATCACCCTGTCACCTGGCATTAAGCACCTGTGGAAAGCAGGGACTAGCTGGCCCAGACGAAAGCCAGTCAGGAACTGCTCCTCAAACTGCAATAAACTGTGCCCGGATTACCACACCTCCTACGCCCTGCAAGTTATTGGTCAAGAGCACAATGCATCTGAAACCGTTCTTTAAATGGAAGTAGAAAACATGTCGCACTCCAAACAGCGTGAAGAGCAGAAGTCACCCATTCCCTACTTTATTCAACCTTCATCTAGAAAATAGAAAAAGGAAAATTTTCCCTCACATCTGAGTAGAAGCTCTCCCTCTCATTGGAAAAGTGTCCTTGTATAGCATTCATCAGAAAACGTAAAGCTTTATGAACAGTCCTGGAAGAAAATTCGTTAGTTAGTCAAATACCTCGTTGAAAGTACCATCAAAATAACCACGAACTTATTCTGTAGCATTATCATCTGCTGCCAGGTGGACGGAAATGGACATTTACACAACAAATCGCGAATCATTTGCAACATTTCCAAAATGAAGTCCATCTTATCGATGTCGTTTGGTCTAAAGTTTGTTTGAATGACTCTTCCACGAACGAAGGAAGACTAAAAGTCAGTTACCTATTTTCAATGTATTTCCCGAACACCTCAGCTGACATTTTGTTAAGTAACGCAAGAATTAGCGAGAAAAATCGACCTCGAATTTCGTCGGTCTATAAATACGTTTCATTAGCTTCCCCAACGAAGTCCGCTGCATCAGTTCTAAGAAGTTGCATTGGGATTCAGTATTAAAAAAGCACTCCTGTACATTATTTCCAAATGCTGCAGACTAACCACAATAGAGAAAGAAGAAGAAAGGAAAGGAAGAGAAAGAAAAGAAAAGAAAAGAAAAGAAAGGAAAGAAGAAAAGAAAAGAAAAGAAAAGAAAAGAAAAGAAAAGAAAAGAAAAGAAAAGAAAAGAAAAGAAAAGAAAAGAAAAGAAAAGAAAAGAAAAGAAAAGAAAGAATTCATGTCGATAATCTCAAAACCACCACGTTCATATGAAGATAGCCTGCTTTTAAAGGTTTACTTCACAACTAACTTCCATTTGGAGGGGTTCCACGGGACACAGATCTAACCGGAAGCGCTCATTTGCGTCAGTTAATGGGACTGCCATGGAAGCCAGCTATTATCAAAGCACTCTCGATGTATTCTGTATGTTCTCCAGAACGTCAAAATACTCTACTCTGGACTTAAATTGGCGCAATCGACGAGGGGGGGGGTGCATTTTGCACTTTCGCTGCTTCCCATTGTCGTTTTAATTGTTTGGTGAGAATTGACAGGTATCTTTTATAAGAGCTCACAAGTAGTTCTTACAAACTTCCAGTGGTACCACTTCAAGGGCTTCACAAGTTTTCAGAAATCTCTATTTCAGCTCGACAGTGGAAAGCAGAAAAGTGCACAATCCCCTCCGTAGCAGAACTGTGCCCAACAAATTAGTTTCTTCAACTCACTGATTGATTTTGTTCTCCTATGTACACCATT